CCCTCACGAAAACGTAAACCAGTTTCTATAAAATCGACCTGACTTTTGTCACGATGAGTTTAATGCTTCGACGACGCGTGTAAAGCCAGGTGACAAAATTAGCTGACTTGCGTCGCGACGCCACGAGACGCTTCGCGACACATACGATCCGTGCAGTATGGGAGTTCCTTGCGACGGCTGACACTGTGGGACGGACTCCACGTGTCCAGAAATGTCCACGAAGGGTAATCGTGCTCCCGTGGTTATTCTCTGCCACGTCTTAGATTACGGTAGACACGAACCGACCACGTGGGAATGCACAACTGATAATGGGGAAAAGCCAAAAATAGTTAAATATGAGATATTAAGAGGGTTCGTTTTGGTGTAATATGAATTCGTGAAGTAACGTAAAATTGACACAGAGACTTTGGCTTGTCGGAGGTTCAGGAGAAATTGCAAGCATTTGCCGTAGGTATTTGTAAGGGTGGGGAGGGGGAAGGTGGAGGGGAAAAAAATTGTCGGATTAAGGTAAAAAGAAAAAGGTAAGTTTTACTTGAACGATGAACTGCGAGAATAATCCCTATAAGTCACGCAGAATAATTTTGAGCTCGAGCACTTTTTCCCGAGATAGAAAAGAGAGAGTCGATATCAGTGCGATCCAGTTATACCCGACGGACGCGTCAGATATAGGATAGTCGTTTGGCATTAGACGAGTCTGACAAAAGTCTTTCGCAGCGACTCGTACGGATCGAGGATCGTTAATGGTGGCGTCGATACGGGTCCACGAGGATAATAACGACAGTCATGCGTGACGTTCATGCCGCCAGCGTGATAGCCGAGCCGAGAGCGTGTATTATTTTTGCAAAGGTAAAGTGGTGACCGTGCCGAGTCTATAATTTGCGATAAGTATCAATGCGCGACGTTAGTGGGTATATACAATATACAGAGGCCTGTATCGGTATATATAGCCAATGAAAGTCGATTTCTCTGAAAGGCAGCTTGGAGCCATAGACCCAAGAATTGGACTGTACAAAATTGGAGAGTGTGCGTGTCTCTGAATTTTTAAATATTGTCAAAAATAATGTAAATTATTTTGAAAAAATCAACCATCCGAGTCCCGTATGACATTGCAGGAATATCACGTGCGAAGACCGTGCACCGTGATACGTATTTAATCGAATGATAGCATTGTCAGTGGTGTCTCGATGGAATCCGAACGACCATTCTTCGATACCGATGACAATGGAAATGTAAAGAAATGACAAAAACCACAACTCGAACGAAATTTCCATCAGAGCACAAACGGACGGAAACGAATTAACTGGTAAAATTGTGTAACACGTACCGCGACAAATCCAATTGGCAATTATCGAGTTAGTTTAATTAGGCTTCGATCGTAAACTCTTTATAACGTCCACGTGGTGCAAAAGGGGAACGCGGCTTTAAGGCACTGTTTACATGTCGACGAGTAACAATAGCAGAGTCGCCAACTATAATTACCAGTACAAATTACAAGGAACTGTAAACCCAGACCCGGTCCGATCAATCAATTTCATGGTAGAAGCTTCGATCAATAATCGATACAGCACATTGTGGACTTTTCGCGTGTTTCACCGACGACCGATCTTGAAGATCGTTAAAAGTAAGCGGAACGTGGAGTTACGTTGGGGTTCGTCTTCGATTATAATCAAGCCGAAAATAAATGAAGCACCGCGGCTTATAAACCGACTATACTCGTGCTCATACTATACTCAATGCTTTTCTGCGAGAAAAAATAGACTCGTACGGTAAATTAAAATCTGATCGATTAAACATTTTTCTTTTTCGCCACTGAGCCACATCCTGTACCAACCGTCAACGTAGATCGCGTTTCGGAATTCTCGGGATACGCACACGGCAGTAGTAACGTCCGGCCACGTTTTCAGACTCCTTGGCCTGCATGTCGAACGAAAGTTCAGCCGGCTACCGAAACGAAGGATTTTCGATAGACGTGGCCAATCTAAGCCGTTAAAATATTCTAGCCGCAAGGACGACGGTCTAAAAGGGACGTGATCGTCGCCGATAACGTCATCCAAATACACAGTCTAGACGGCGTCGTCGGCTCGATACGAAGGAATTATTTTTGTATATAGAAAATAGATCGACCCACGTGACAATAAAGGAAAGTACGAATTAACGTCGATCCTTATATACTTAGTATATACTGTACAAATCTGCATAAACACCAATCTATATACATATATGGTGTGTGTATGGTGTGCATAGGCTGACTCGTGTATAAAGAGTAGCGCGGTATAATGACGCAATACTTTCTGCAATGGTCATAATACCTTTTACGAACTTGAAAGAAATATATACAGTGATTAGTACGATGCTGGATAGATAATTGTGGGAATTGACGGAAGGTATGAAATAAATAAATTCTATAGCCAATTGTACTGACTTTACAGCGAAACATTGAAATGTTTGATTTGCAAGGATTTTCATGAAATGCTCTAAGTGTCGCGGGACTGGTTCAAGTTCTCGCTGTACGTATAAGGTAGAGAGAATTGCCCCAGGCCTTATTTGTATGCGATAACTCTTCCGCAATCCGTACCCGAATGCTCGAGATTAGCATAAAATAAACGGGCGCGTACGCATAGGTTACACACGTGGAAGTATACAAAGGCTTAGTCATTCAGCGATCCATTCCTTGTAGAGTAAGGCAGGAGTAAGAGTCCTGTAATAAGGCCGTCTGATATGACCGAATCGCATTGGTATACTGAAAGCAAGACTTGCGGCATATACACCGTGGCTTTATGTACATGGGAAATATTCAAGGGATGAAATCCGACAGGAGTGAATCGTTAGGGTAGACTTCGATTAGGGATTTACGTGAATGGTTAGTAAGTCTGTACCCGGGTATATGGTTAGCCGTGAAATTTCATGCCAGTAAAAAGAGAAGAAAAATGCACCTCTCACAATGACAAATGTGACTCACCGAGATGTGAGGAGGATTCAAAGGAATCTGAAACAATAAAAAAATGGACATAGTTAACTTAATACAGAAGAAGACTATACGAGATCCTAGAGAAAGTGTATGACGATGAGTAAAATAAAAAAAAAAAAAAAATCGAAAAAAAAAACTTTAGACAAAATACATTTTTTTTTTTAGAAAAATTCGAAAAAAAAAATATGTAATTACGAGTTATAAGAAATTTCAAAGTCAAAGAAAAACATGAGGACAACGATGTCAGCCGGGACGTTGCATGTCTTTGTCGAGTAAGCGGAAATTCTTTTCCAAGAAAATTAGTGCTTTTGAGGTAAACGCTCGGGATGCAAAGTCCAGAAAACAGTGGGTATGAACAGAGCATAAAATAACATGGTCGCAATTCTGGTGTTTTCTGAAATAAAAGGTATTCCCGGAAGGAACGTTGGCAGGTATATTCCAAAAAAAAAAAAAAAAAAAAGCGTCACCTTAAATAATGCATCGGAAAGTCTCACCGCGGAATGACGTCACAAGAAGAGACCGAGTGTCACAATAGACACGAAGCTACGCGTATCGACGAATTGGAACGATCTAATAATAATGAGCTCGAGGAGAGTCGTTAGGTCGAGAGGACGAGATGAGATCGACGCAAGGGGAAACTCAGATGCAAGAAGTCATCAGGGCGCACATCCATGTGGCGGTTTCGTGCGTCACTGCGTATCGCACCACCCGAATAGGTTACCCCTAAATGCGCGTAGCGACTATTTTCGAGTGGCCTGGATCAAGTATATATATTCGAGTGCACAGAAGTTGAGACTTCGGAGAGTAAAGAGAGAGAGAGAGAGAGTAAAGAGAGAGAGAGCGAGAGAGAGAGAGAGAGAGAGAGAGAGAGAGAGAGAGAGAGAGAGAGCAGAGAGAGAGAGAGAGAGAGAGATACAAGATGCTGCCTTCGACTAACCGCGGCTCCATTATTTCTAGCCGGCCACGCGTTTATTTATACACCACGTGCGCGTGTGTGTTCCATGCGTTTATCACGAGGGAGCAGCAATCCCCTATTTAAATTCAGCGCTACAGTCAGATCCAGAGTCTACGGTCTTTTTAAAGAAGAGAGATGGCCATCGTATCTTAGACAAAACCAACCAAAGTCAGAGTTCCCCTATAGATCGAGCGAAGAGACAAACCGATCGAAAAGAAAAATTACTATACGAAATCTCGAGTCGCATTATTTATACGTCTTAAGATTATTTTGCAAATGTGAAAAAAATTTTTTTTTTCATTTTCATTTAACCGAACGTATCGTCAGCAAAGAATATAAATGTTCAAGGTTCCCCGAGCATAGAGGAAAGTATCAATGTGCCGTTAAGGCGCCAGATGAATTGTATACGTAACAATAATTTCGTAATCAAGAGACGACGCGCTCCGTCGCCCGGCCAATGATAGAGGCTCGAGGAACTAACGGGGAGGCTGGGAACTCGTGTCGTCGATCCGATAATGACCAATTATCGTGGGATCAATTTTATCCCTGAGCTCCATCGTTCCAGCGCCATGTGGCTGTGGCGCTGGCGGTGCGCCAACGTCACGTTTATACACGAGAGACAATTTGTACAGTGGCGTCTGTCGGCGAGCGTCACGAGCATCTTTGTCTTTGGTCCAGGGGGATGCTGAATTTTTCACCCCCCACCTATATAATTAGCCACGTGGGAAAGAGTTAATTACCAATAATTTCAACGAACCACCTACAGTGTCCACGTAACAATTATTCAACGGCTTTACCTTATTCCGGTTTACTTTATCCTTTGCATAAAGCACATAAGCGTATTAATGCTCGAGAGAAAGTGACGTGAACCATTTTGACAGGCGACACCGAACGACCGTTTGAATTAAGGCGATAATCGAACACACGATTTACGGCACGTCGTGTACGTCGACTACGTTCGTAATTCTATTGGACCTTTCGGAGCTGAGACCGAATTAAACAGTCCTGAGATTCCACGTATTTATCGTGGCAATGACCTCCTCTGCATCCAGACGTCTTGCGAACAAGAAACTTTGGTCTTTACCACCCGCCGTGTAATTTGGACGTTATCAAAGCCCCATTATTTTTCTTTATCTCTTAATACTGAAAGTCTATGCCTGGTGATAGTGTCGCGTAACACTGGCCGACACTGTTACGTAATGTAATTAGAGAACTCGCACACTCGCTCATTCAGTCTTTGCTGGGACTGCTATATACAAAATACAGATACAGATATACAGATAATATATATATATATATATATATATATATATATATATATATATAACTCATCAACACATCGATTACCACAAGTCGTAATGACTGCGTAAACTTATTCAATGACAATTCGTAGTAGGGGAAAAATTTTGTATTTCCATTATTTTTTTGTCACCCCTTTATGGATCCAGTCAAAAGCGCCTTACAGCTAATTGAATAGCTAACGAAGGATCTATCGATCTCCGATCGTTTCCTAAGTTGAAAACAAAAATTATCGCGATAAATATGCACCTGGCAATTACGTCGTTTAACCAATTATCGATCGCGAGTTTCCCCGGCGACACGCGATACAAATTTTTGTTATGACCCTGAAAAGTTACACGATAACCGTATGCGCCAAGGTCACCGGTGCAATCCGTCCTCATATCCGATTGACCGGCAGATATTAAAATATAAAGTTGTGCACATCAGCAGAAGTGCCTGGCGAGAGGCGTAAGTGGCGCTTATGCGTTGCATCGGTGCATCGGTGCATCGGTGCATCGGTGCATCTCCTCTACGGTGCCCGAGTGCACTCCGGGTGCAAGCAGCTGGTACCGACTACATGCGATGTAGACTGCGCGGAGGGCGACTTGCCGTCGGTACTGGGAATACGGAGCGACGCACGCGAGAAACCTCGGAGTGCTCGAAAATAAACGAAATTGGATGCGAAGGCTGCTAGTTACCGTAGCTGCGCCATTTCAAGCCAGGTTTCCCAGGCCTGCTCGAGGCGGGAGGAGCGATTGCGCTGGCACCATGCAAATGATGCATTCATTATTCACGATTGGAGCCAGTCGTCTTAGAGGCTGAATGTTGCGGGTATAGGCTGGAAGGATAGTTACGGATGGGATTCGTGATACCGATAAGAGGAGAAGTTTTTGCAACGACGTAAACAAATTATTCGCAGGTGTGACATTAGCAAAAATAATATTGGTAAGTGATAATATTTTCAATGGGAAAATATTTATTAACGATGATGCAAGCAGAGTCGTTAAGCGATTAGGCGTAAACGGATTGAACCTGATAATTTTGATCGATGTCGATTGACAAAATCTCAGCGCGAACGATAAGGTGCATGTCTTACGGATAATAATAAAGTCAACCGTAAGTAAAAAGGGAGGAGAAAAATATCAATCGAGATCGAGACTGTCTCTGTGAGCGATTGAAAACGACTGTTGTGCTTTAATTAATTCGGACGCCCGGAGCGGGTTAATTATTAACGAAGAAGGCCCAGACGTGGCTTATCAATGATAAAATTGCCGAGTGTAATTAATTATGGACGCTATCGGTATCGATGCTTCATAACGCTGGTTCGCGTTCGGAAAATTAATAATAAGCAATCTTTGTGTCGGCCATCTCTTTTTTTTCTTGTACCAATAAAGGTCTCCTAGTGTCGGTATGCGTATAATGCGCAATGCGTAGAGCGTCTAGGAGATACGTAGACGAGGTCACGCGATACTGCTGAATACGTGAGTGCCGTGCGTTAAATTTATTAGAAACGCAAAAATTTAATGTAAAAATAAAAAAAAAATTATCATCTTTTCAAGTCCAAAAATCGAAAGTGTGACAATTGCCTATGAACGATACACGTGAAACTTTGATTCGTCAATCTAGGATTTCAATGATCCCGTCACGACCCTCAACTTGAATTTGCAGACAGCACTGAGCTTAAAGCCGTAGTTCAAAGACTAAAGCAAAAAAAAAGCATCTGGCTTCGTCAGCCAGATTCGCTAATGCAATTAACGTTCTGTCCGGATAATCTGTCAAAGTCAATAAGGAACATTGCTCCTGCTATAAAGTACCACGGTACAAAATCAAAGTGTGAAAAGTATCGAGGTGATCGAATAAAAGAAGAAAATTAATAAAAATACACAAGTCTACCCGTCGCCTAACCCGTGCAGAACGAGCGTGCAAAATATTCGCTCTCTGACGTAATTACACGTAGCTCCTAAATACCCTGAAAGTAACATTGATAGGAACGATCACGCAGTTGCGTCACCGAGAGGCGTGCTTCCACGTGGTTACGCTGTCTGCAGACATGTCATACATCTAGTACACAGTCTATACGCAACTCAATTAATAAGTCTGATATCTAAAAACCACCAAGATTATAGCCCGCTCGAGTTTTATTGAGAGAATAAGGAATTTCAAAAATTATTATTATTATCGATTATCCAAGTCGCATACTCCAAGTGGAAAATAATAATACGAAAAAAAAAAAAAGATTTATTTATAACCACAACATTCTCGTATAGAATGGCCATGGTATCGAATCAAAGAAAAGGATCGGCGAGCCGATCGATATCTGATCGTCGTATCGAAAAACGTGATGGTCATTCATAAGAGGAACGGGAAGAAGTACTTAACGCTACCTTGCTCCCGCAGTATACGTAGATTTCGCGAAATCGACTTGTGTGCAATTTTTGTTTATTGCCAGCGATACCAGAGCGAATGAAAAAAAAAATTTAATTTGACGTACCAATCCGATCCGTGTTTACGGTCGTCTGTCTGGCTATTTGTTCTGTCCTCTGAGCGAGTGTGTTCGATAACCATAAAAAGCGCCAGAACGCCAATCATTCCGAATCGATTATCCCGAACGGCAATCGGACATGGTTGACATTCCTGGCAAACAGCGCAGGACATGTTATTCATCGAATTAGCGTGTAGCAGCGCGTTTCGATCGGCCGACCCTTTTCCTCTCTCTGTTCCACTCAAGCGCTCGGAACGTCCGGCGAGCATCGAAACGTCCTTGAGCTTAGCAGGTCGGAACGAAGTCCGCGTGAAACGGAAGTCAACGGATCAATTTCCGTTTGGATAGAGCATTGTTCGAGCGCGCTGAAAAGTTCGACCTAATTTTTGCATGTTGCGCGGGGAAAACAATGAATCCCGTGAATCCTGTTAAACGTAAAAAAAAAACATGTGTAATGTATTTTATAAAAATTTGCAACGTCAAGTGACTGGCATTCGAAAGAAAATGCAACAGTAGCTAATGAGCGTGCAAACAGCTTGATCGGAGATAATAAACGTCGCAGTAAACAGCAAGAGACTATATTGACTCGATAAAGGAATTAAATGACTCTAGTGCAATGATCATTCGAGCAGCAATGCAACGGCAAATCGAATGATCTTTGTGCGAAATATTCTCATCCCTAATACGGTAACAATTTTCCTATAAATCTATCGATTACGTGTGCGTATATATATATATATAGGCGGAACAAAAACTTGTCCTTGGTAGGTTGACGGTAAAGCGCAATGTTGTTGCATATATTGATAGGTGTATTGTATATATGTATATATATATGTATATATATATATATATATAGTGAAATAGGCACCCTTGACCGTAGCGCGACGCGGGCACCGCGACGCCGTTCAATAACAGCGTAAAGGTGTATTGTATATATGTATATATATATGTTTTCCTATAAATCTATCGATTACGTGTGCGTATATATATATATATAGGCGGAACAAAAACTTGTCCTTGGTAGGTTGACGGTAAAGCGCAATGTTGTTGCATATATTGATAGGTGTATTGTATATATGTATATATATATGTATATATATATATATATATAGTGAAATAGGCACCCTTGACCGTAGCGCGACGCGGGCACCGCGACGCCGTTCAATAACAGCGTAAACGTAACAAGCGTTGGGTAATGGACATTAGCTAACTTGAATTTCACTAGTTGCCGTCTTCCACCGGACGATCTTTAAGTTTGAATAACGAAGCGAGGACACGGCGCGTTTCTTATCAATTGCGCGACATTATATTCGTCCCGGCAATTCCTAGGATTCCACGATTACAAAATAGCGCGAATGCAATTTGTCTTGGCGTGTTCTGGCAAAATTTTTATCCGCCTGCTGTTTCCTCTGGCATTGAAAGTACGCTTTGCCGCAAACGCAAAGACATTTTAAAGTCGCCCTTGCTCCAATTTACGGCGAAACAGTAGTTGCGGGATGTATGATAAAATTTATTCATCAAATTTTTTCGCGAACGAAATCGACCAATTTCAATCGACAGACTCAACCTGATATTATCAATGCTACTTTAAACGATACAAATATTGCGCTACGAAACGTGAGGCGGAAAGCTGATTGCGCGGGACGAGGTGATAAGATGATCCGCGGAAAACTACTTGGAGCATATTGTAACGTCCTAGATGTCAGGAAAGTATGAGATACAGATATAACAAGCATGACTGTCCGATCAAAAAGTACTAGGGAGGATTAAGTCAGTGAGATAAATACTGAAAATTTGGGGGGGAGGGGGAATTACAAAAATAAATTATACGTTCGTCAAATTTTATGATAGTGAAAAAAAATATTGAGTATTTGGCAGATTTTACTGTTTTTGCATATATTTTCAGCATTGATCAAAAGCATATGAATATACAGTACACGAAAACAGACTAGATACTCGACGCACGATCATGTATTTTTACACACGTTCGAAACAAACAAATATTTATTAGCCCGAACGCACATCCGCAAAAGACCATATACGAATTTTATTGTTCAACCGTCGTAACGTAGGAGCGTCGTGTATCGCAAACAAATAGTATTAATTCCTCGGTAGTTTTGCGCGTCAACAAAAGTCTTCGAGTGTCCTTAGAAAAGACATCGCGCAATTAATAATTAATGCGACTTGGTATCGTGGAAAAAAATATTATCGATATCCAGCAGTGGCGTCTCAGGGAATTCGCATGACATATACGATAAAGAGCGAGCATCCAATGAGATACCGACGCCAGCCGTCGGACTCTGTGAACGAGCAATTCCTGCGGCGAATGTCAAAAGAGCGTTGTAAAGGTCTGATAAAAAAAAAAAAAAAAAAAAAAAAAAAAAAAAAAAAAAAAAATCAAGGGATAGAAGAAAAAAAATTATTTCAGCGAAGGAATGAGAAATGAATATAAAACAAAAAGAAAAGAAAAAAATGAAAAAAAAAAAAAAATTCACCAAAAGTCCTTACGCGGATCTTGTGGCTATTCTTTGTCGTCTGCCATCCGATCCTCTCGTATGGCGTCGTATAGGCTTTTGAGAGGACGTTGCCCAGAGTCGCCGAACTTGTTGCTAGGCAGTCCGAGGCCAACCGTTATACTTGATTCTGCTGTTCCGTGGGCCATGGTGAGAAGCCAACGTGGAATTTATGGTTGTGCCAGCGAAGATCGGATCGAAGTTAAAAGTCACCGGGAATTTTGTGGCTGTGTACGCAGCGTCGATAAATATTACAAGCAGATGATATTTGGATGCCGATTAAACGTCGTGAAATATCACGTGGAAACCGAGATTTCGTTGATATCGTATAGGCTCGCGCATTGCCGCCTAACGTCCTTGTATGCTTCGCGATGTACAGAGGATACTTGAGTCCGCCTGATACATCTTGGATCGATCATCCGTTCCAAGAGGAAGGCACCAAAGATGGCGAACGTGTCTACACGTGCACCTTGTAAAACGAGAGCGTGTTCTTCCTCTTGGATTACAGCTCGTTGCACGTGAAAGGTGCTGATCTTTAACACGGCGAGACTGTGTATCATCATCCGGGTAGCCCGAACCATATGAAAGAATACTTTTTTATTTTATTTTTTTTTTCTTAACAGTAATTATTCTAGGTAGCGGTTAAACTTCCGTTGTTCAAAATAGACTACGGCGATGCAACGAAAATTTGTCTGTCGTTATATATATATATAACGGCAGACAAATATATATATATATATTTATATGCTTCTATACTATATTCGTGGGAAAAAGGGTATATCGTGTACAGCGATATGGCTCGAGCTCTCTGATTCTACTTAAATGACTGACGTCACGGTTTTTACTCGAGAGGATATGACGTCCCAGGGACTGACGAATTGTTATTAATTACAATCTATTTAGACTTACGTTTAACGTTCCAATGGAAAATTATAATTCCTGGTTCATCTTGAGCTTCAATAGTGTCGATGGGTTCAACGTTGTTGAATATTTATTTATTTTTTTTATTAACGATTAAATAATCGAGACCTTGGGTTAGAGTGTTTGATAAATGGAAATTATTTGTTTCCCCTACGTTCTATTAGTGTACTCGGCTATCGCGCGAGTAATCGTTAATTAATTGCTCGTTTGAAAGAAAAAAAAAAGAATCCTGCTCGCGAATAACCTTCGTCCTTCGGGGTGAAAGTAAACACGATAGAATTATCTTTGTATGACCTGTAATTTTACTCGTTACAGACAATTTCCATGGAGCGTCGAAACTTATCGAATTCTAGGGACTGGTTATTGATCGTTTTAGAAAATTCACGATAAGGTTGCGTCGATGCATCGATTGATAAGAAAAATTAATGGCTTGCGCGAGCCGTTGTATGCATCGAATTCTTGTCCTATCTCTTCTGCAGTTTATTATTGTTTTTTTTTAGTTTGCTTTCGCACGCTCGTAATAATAACAGTTATGTGGTTGCGACAGGAAATTGGACTGATAATACGTTTAAAATAAAGTTACGATCTATCATCGATAATCGACATTAAAGATTATCGATAAGATGTCTTCGATTAATTTCCTGAGTGGATTCATTCATTAAATGGGTGAGAGAATCAGCTAGAAAGAAATTTAGTACTTGTATTCTTCGTCTGACCATTAATGAAATAAAAATATTCCACCGTCAACGTTAATATGCCTTGGGGTCGTATACGCAAAGAGCGATAAGAAAGTACAGAATTCGTATATAAAATTTGTTCTCTGAGAGATTCTGTATCGTATCGCTGTATAATAATTGTTGAAATTCGTTCAAAGTTCTTAAAGGCAATAACCAATATTTTAGACAAATATTGATAAAGCATACATAAGAAACACCTGTCAAGATTTAAGGTACTCACTGCAGGTCACGTAAGTGTGCAACGTATGACCGTCACGTGTAGTCTGATCGTACTCAGGAAGCAGCTGGTGGTAGCAAGTAATGCTGATTGCTAACGCCGTAAGGGTTAACTTACAATTGAACTTACCCGTTTGCTATTGATATTAAAGTACGATAATGCTCACGGAAGAATTTTCATTTGTGGAAAAGTCAGCGGGGTTCTGGAAATTTTTGTAATTTCGAAGAAAACCAAAAGCAATACGGTTGCGAAGGGAATAATCGTCTACACCGGAGTCTAATGCTTTCGAGAGAAGTATGGTGATCCGTACGACTATAGCGGCAGAGCGACGCCAGAGCAAGAGCCAGTCGATAAACACTACCAATAGAGAAGTCAACTGTTGTTGGTTTGATCGTCAGGTGTCTGATTATTTCTACAGCAGGTAATAAGCGTACGTTATCGGCACTCGAGGCAACAGGTGGGTACTGACGAATGACTTTACCTGCGTCTGATTGTCAGCGTCGGTAAAGAAACTTATATCCATATACGGCAAGAGAATTTCCACTAGCGTGTTCACGCGATAGCGTCTGCATTACCGACTGTAGGCAACGACATAGGTAAACCGCAACAGCTGTTTGAAAACATTGGTATCCCTGTAATCGCAGTGACTACGTCTCCATTTAAAGAACGTATGCGCGCATTCTACTCAAACCTTGTGCACGACTCCTACTTAACTCCCGGACGATGGAAACGTAGTCAATGACTGAGTCCATTCCTCGCACATAAACGAACTGTTTAAATTAAGTGTCAGTGCACGAAATAATTCCCAGTGGATTCACGTATATTCTGACAAAGGTACCAAGCGAACATTACATTACGAATTAGACTTTAGTCGTTGGTTTTACTCACTCGTCTCATTGTCGTACACGGGACTTCCATCCCCGACATCCTCGACGGCTGTGGAAACTGCTGAAACAAGGAAATTGAAATAAATTAGCAAAGTGATCCAATTTCGTATACCTATTATACATATATATATATATATATATACAATGTATGCAAATAATATAATTATCTCGCTCAAGGTAAACACGACCTTCTCTATTAAAGGAGATATATAGAAAGGTACAGTTCGTTTCATACGAAAAGTGACTCCCCAGTGTCGCTTCCTCGTTAATCACCATTGATCGTCGTATCCCTCGTTGTTTCTGTGTCGCGTAGCGAAACCGACAAAGTACAGGAGTTTATATGCGATTTAAAAAAAAATTACCTCGGACTACTTCGAACAGAAATCGTAGACGCGTAACAGGCAACCATGACGAATCATCGTTAGTGGTGAAAATGGTTTGAAAATATTTTCCTACTCGTCACCCGTTAAACGCGACTTCCCTTAACGACTAAGGCTCATTTCACTTTCTTCTATGGCGCATGAGTTTCTTATCGTCCGAAGTCTAGACTGCAGGTTTATGTACGGTTACTTTGTAACAGAGCTTATCGTCATCATGGCGACAAGATTATACGTTCTCTTTGAAAGCATACAATTTTAAATTGTAGAATGTACGAAACCGCGTGTATCGGGATGAACGATGATCCCTTTATGAAGTACAATAACGGATAGACGATTGTTCAATGACGACAATAAATTATTCGCGTGAAAGATAGCGGAGAGTCATCCGAGGCAAATTCTTTCTACAATTTTTTTTTTTATGATGCGTTATACTCGTATGATTTACTACTAATTGTTATTACCGCAATTGCAAAAGATTGTATGAACTTTCGAACAGTGCTAAATCCAGCGCCGTAAAACAATCACGAGGGATTTTGCACTGGCAACAAAATATTTTACATGTCGTTTAATTGCAACTTTCAATTAATTGCACACTAGAACCATAACGCGATCGAACAAAATTTTTGCTCGAACATACAAGACAAACGTTGAGTCTCGTTGTACGAAAGCGCCACGTACAAAATAATCATTTAAATATTATGGATCAGACCTTCTTTTTCTCTGCATAAATTACAACAATGATAAGCAACCAAAGTCGATAAGATAACGTTATTGCGTTCGTAGATATTTTTGCAACATGCATGTAGTCAAATAATACAGTATAGGTAAAATATACCGTATCGGACCAATATCAATTCTCACGATACCTTTGATTAATTTTTTTATCATCCAAATTAAATTAATTAAATTAACCCACAAAATCGTGCAAGATGAAATTTTCACTTCGAGTCACGCGATAACAATAAAATTATCCAAAATTTCCAGTCAACTGTTATCGGCGTCCTGCGCGTCCTGTACAATTAACGTTTTCACGTAAAATCAATATACATAGGTCACGAGGCATTTGGAACATATGAAAGATTCCATATTAATGGAAAGCTAGAAAATATATTTTTCGAAAAAAAAATATATGTACTGAAATACTGAAAAAATATGTATTGAATCGCAATGTAGCAAACGGCAATGTCAGATCACAAGCATTATTTGATCCGACCATTAAATGCCAGGTGCGCTTGTCGGGTATGATAAAAACTCAAAAATAATTCCCCTTGAAAGCATTTGCAGTGACTGATCTAGTGCAATTACGAATTAAATCGTCGAATAACGGGCGCGTAGAGACTTACAATGGCTTACGATTTTTATGAGCCGTCTAGATCCAGCAGACTCGGCAAATGCCTTGTTTACTTTGCATTAAATTTATTATTCTCCATTACTGTCATTACGGTCGAACAATACAGCTATATCCATTTGCGGCTTTACGGATATTATTAATAATAATCCTGAGCACCGAAACGCGTGAAATTAACAATCTTTAATAATTGATTATCAGCCGATTATTCCGTGTTTAATATATTATTGTACTTCGTTCCGAATATAGTATACGCGAAGTGCATTAATTTCTAATTTGTAATTGCAGTCGAAAAAAGCGATTATCATCCGTCGAACGACAGATACCCCGACAATCTTTATGGCACCTATCGAAAATAATCTTCAGGATTATCGATAAGTCATAATTTATCCAATCCGTGACAGATGCCGATAAAAAAAAGAAAAAGCGACGTTGATTATACGCGCACCTGATAAACAGTCAAATACGACACGTCAGTGTGAAATTGGCACTAGCCGTCGAGAGGATTCTTCATTGAAAAATGCATTTTACTTGGCTCGTAAAATTATTTAAAAAATTGACAAGCGTAAAAGCGTTATCGCGCGATATATAAAACGCGTAAAAGAATTATCATCGATAGCGCGAATAAAAGTCTACCTCTTGCATAGCCGGAATAAGCATCACAAGGGTCTACTAAGAACCACAGGTCATTACGATACATAGCAAAAGTGCATTGAACTCGGCAATGATTGTAATAAATTATTGAAATCGTATCGATCCGATCAATTTCAATTCGATCGTACGTTTTATCACAACAGGGTTATAGACTCCGGATAGAATTTTATTATCACAAACATCTATCGCACGTGACCATCATTGACCAATGACGCAAAGACATTCAACTAATTTAACAAAAGAAGAAAATAAAAGTGTCACGGAAAGTTTTCGACTGTCACATTAAAATTTCTTTTTTTCAAGTCTAACAATTACGTCCGTTATCCGTGCACGAGAAAAAAAAAAAAAAAAAAAAAAAAAAAAAAAAAAGCGACCGGAGCAATCTCCATCTCTTACTTCATTAATGCGAGATGACAGACGCATCTCTAATCGCGTTTCCAAGAAACGCCAAGAATCTCGAATTCAATTTACATGAGAAAACGAGAAGAGTTAATTGGCCCCCAAGGAATGTAAAGGACAAGACCCAAATAGAGAGTATCGCGTCGCTTTTCAACGAGACTTTTCAAAGACACCGTAATATCAGAGTCCTCGTGACGTCACAATTCGTTGGTTCCGATAAATTTTCTTCTTGTTACCTACCGACTTCTACATCGTGCACCGAGAACTCCAACATAGCGAAGTTGTTGGTCGATCCAGGAATTATTTTCCACACGGTATATGGCCCACGAGATGAACGATCCAGGCACAGATCACAAATCGGAGCACTGATCGGGCCGAGTGAAATAAATGAAACTGGATTCTAAAAGAGTGAAGCCACTTTGAACAGCCTCGCCGTCGATCGACGATCGGATCGCGGGTCAAAGTTAAGATTAAGAAGTGTTCAGGCTCTCAAATATCGGACGTTCCCAACGAAACGTCTACATAGTCCAGGATCTTATTTAACGCACTGACCACCGAGAGTATTCGGACCGTCTCGATGCATTTGAACGGTCGGCCTCTCGCGCTCACGGGCTACGACTCTCGATATCGTCGTACCTGCGGCTACGTTCACGTCGCAGGACAGTCGTCTGAGCGGCGCGCGTCGATTCTCCGCCGCTTTCGGTATTGTCGAAGGACGCGAAGGCTGCGCGGTAAGAAAAAAGTTTCTTCGCGAGGACTTTTACTCGAGGGATGGAATGGATCGTCGTGTCGCGAAAATTGCGATCGCGACTCGTAACGGGACAGCGAGTGTCGCGAGGAACGTGGCTGCTTTCCTTATATAGATTTGAAAATGGGCAAAAGTACTGATTAGATTATTATCAGCGACGCTATGCGGCCTGCCGGGTATTCAAATGATTGTCACAGATACGCCGAGAGGTTTGGATTCTTTATCAAGGAAATGTAGGATTATTCAATAAAACACGATTAGGCTGATGATTGACACGTAGACGGTTCACGTTTTCTCAGTGTATACGTATATCCGATGGGATAACCCGAATCTAGTAGGTTCACTGGCACGAGAAAGTTTTTTCCTATACGATTTTCGTATTTCCTGCTATTCGTCGATCGGAGTAAGAATGGAAAAGCGATTTTCGTCACAGCGGTATGTTCGCTTCGGTCACGTTCAGATTACTGCTCGAGTCCCGACGGCCGCCCAGCAATAACATGTCAGAGTCAACTAGCGATAAGGAGAGACAGTCTTCTTCACAAGTAATATGTGCTACTGTAGGCCTGACGTATTTTTCTGTCGATAATGCCGGAATCGATGTCAAGAGACGTCGACATTGGACTTAAGGTATTTCTCCTTGAGTACTTCAGAGACTATTGATTCAATTTGATAATTTCTAGTGGCAGTACGACGATTAACCGATTATTTATGACGTTCGATCGACGATAAACAATGCGCTTTTTTAATAAATATTAATTTTTTTTTTTTTTTAATACCTCGTCCGTGCATTTCGTGGAACCGGAGCTGGCGATACTGGATCTTACGATGGACGTGATCACGTTCCTCGAACGTACGGTTTGTAATTTATAAATCACTGCATAAATAATTAATTTTTCGAACTAGTTTGCGTTTTTTTTTTTTTTTTTCGTATCAGCGCGGGAATATTTAAAAAAAAAAAAAAGCAGAATTTTCACTGAATTCGTTTAAAATCTCGAAAGTTCGAGTAAACGCGTCGCTGAGTTCCGATATCAGAGACAATTGGCTAATTGCGTAAACGGCTGTTTTCACGTATACTCCTCGGAAATATACGAAGGCAGCGAGAAAAGGGGACGATAAATTTTCTGCTCTTCGATAAGCTCGGCTGAACAAATATCCAAGGGTTTAAAGTGTATCTTGTACCCTTCACTTGGCGATTGGCACGTAGTAATTATGTACAGGGTGAACTAGTAATCTACGATCAGGCGAAGTAAATGACATTTTGGTGATTTTTGACTTAAATATTTGCGCCGACTTTATCAGCGGGGACTAATTATTATTCACCACCGTTGGATCTGTTTGTGTTGTTACAGGCCAAAAGTTATCACCGACGCAACCAACAACCGCGCTGCTAGAACACGAGACTCGGAGACTCGAAAGCTGAATGATGATTGTACAAGCACGTTCTCTCTTTGGGGTTGAGACTCGAGTTGCGAGTGAACGTGACTTTCACGATGGGTGATTCGGATTAGGTCAATTTACGTAGTAATGCGCAGAATGTCATTCGCCTACGTTTATTTAAGGTCTTAAGAGAGTTTATTAACCGTGCGACCTCTTGTGGAGTAACTGGTCATTGTTATTTTCATTCATTCGCTATTAGAGCGGTAGCTTCGACATAATGTATTTACGTTAATTATTATACGATTCGACATTACAATTGGCAATTACGATATGAGATAAATATTTTCATTTTTCGTTCAATAATTCACGACACATCGTTCGATTGCCTGTGGGTCTTGATGATGCAATTCCGAATGGATTCAAGGGTTGACAAATAAGGTGCTAAGAGTTTAGGGCGTCTCTACGAGCTTAAATTTTCGGAAAAATTTTATTTTACGAATTTTCGACGTTTCGTCCAGTGAATGTAAATTTTCACGGAATTTCATACAGAAAACAGTTATAGATACTTTTACCGTAGAAATCACGGCGAAGGGACAATGCTATGCAGAGCAGTCACAAGGTACTATTACTTTCGTTATTATTCGCAATTCGGGTCGGGATGGCATTTGAAAAATAAAAAATTATTTCGAAAAATTAAAATAAATTTTCTTTCACAACTCCCGACACTGATACGTGTAAAAATAAATTTGACGCAACTCTATTGTTATTTCCGACAATCAATATTTCGCTCTAATCGTCGCGGATAGTCGCCTATGGCCACGTCTTGAAGGATATGACGCAAGCACGAAATTGGCCAGGAACCACATTTACGAGGAGTTAACAAACTTTTGTGTCACTGGAACAAAGTAATCCGCGTGGTTCGTGTTCGGCAAATATTCGTGTCGCTGTAAAATTATCAGTAACAAGTCACGTGTTAGTCCATGCTGAGTCACATAATAATACATAGGACAGGTGGATCACCTATGCGCTATGTGCTGCAATGCGCTTAAAATGATGACATAATGATTCATCATTAAATACACCTGCACGTCAGACCTAGCGCGTCCCATCATATATATATATATACAAACACAAAGAAAAAAGATTTGCTGACATTGCGATTCGCGCAATGCCTAAATTCGCAATATACTGTACGATCATAAGAATCGCCCATTGCAAACAGCTGGTATCTTGTTTGTTTGCAAATTCAAGAATCTCACGAGCCTCTAGCAAACAGAACCGCTAACAGTTGATCAACAGAATTGAGAGAAGCACGGACCAAGTAAACAGCACATTGCGCGATATTGAACCGAAGCGTATCATCTAAATATACGAATAAGTGTTTTACAAGAAAAAAAAAAAAAAAAAAAAAAAAAAAGTTCCGAAATAAAATCCAAAGTAGTAAAAAAAAAGAATCTAGATGAATCTATCAGATAACCTATGAAAAATATCTAAAGCGTAGATATATGACGGATGCCCGAAGGTAAATAGCAACTGGTACAAGGATGATTATTATTTTTAAAAAAAAAAAAAAAAAAAAAAAAAAAAAAAGTTCCGAAATAAAATCCAAAGTAGTAAAAAAAAAGAATCTAGATGAATCTATCAGATAACCTATGAAAAATATCTAAAGCGTAGATATATGACGGATGCCCGAAGGTAAATAGCAACTGGTACAAGGATGATTATTATCCGTATAAATAATGCATAATATCACGTTGATACCTAATCTCTTCCAATTACGAGATAAACAGTGTATTTTTTTTTTTTAATTAATTTAAGTATCACCGAGCATAGCATCTCTCGTGTAACAATGCAGTCTTGATAGAAAAAAAATTCCAGAATAATATCCCATGATAATGACGAAGCTTCGTTAGAAAAAGATAAATTATATTCGTAATTACTAATTATCAAAGACTCGTTAGAAGCTTCAGACTACTCCAGTCTTCGTCATATCTCGTATTTTCTCTTGGGTTTTTTTTTTTTTTTTTTTTTTTTTTTTTTTTTTTCCCC